TACATCCTTATTCTCATGAAACTTACAATTATGAGACATTAGAGACATCAAATGATTATGTAACTAAATAGGCAGATACAGCTATGAGACACTGAAGGGAAAATTTTAGGGTACTAGGGAACCACACAGTGAGGTGAGGCAGAGAGGAATAGTCTGGATTGTGGGATCATGTAAAAGTAAAACATAAAGGACAAGTGGTAGTTTCCTAGCAAAGATCAACAGAAGGAAGAATGTGCCAGGTACAGAAGATAGCATAAGGAAAGGTCCTGGGCAGAAACAAGACTAGCATATTAAAAACCCTCAGATTGCTTCTGTTACTGTGATAAAATATTTAAGTTCTAATCAAAAGTCTGCATACCTTCTCCAAAGAGCCAGAGAATAAATAGTTTAGACTTTGTGGACTATGCAATTTCTATTGTAATTTTTAAAATTTTTCTTATAGCAGGAATACTAAACAGTAGCTTACTGTTTAGTATTAGCTTACATACTAAACAGTATGAAAGTGAATCGATATGGCTGTTATAATAAAAATTTATTTACAAAAATCAGATGGAAGAAGAGAGGTGGTACATAGGATGTAGTTTGCTAATCCACATTCTAAATTATAGCAGGTCTTTCTAAAATTCAGTTATAAACCTCAGTTGCATAAAAATATTTATTCCGATGAACACATATTTATTGGGAATCTACCGAATACGAGGGATGCAGCAGTAAATAAAAATACGTTATTCCTTTGCTTGTGAAAGTAATGAATATAGGTATTTAACAAATAGCAATACAATAACAAGATAATACATGCACAATTGAACTGTAGCTACATGCATTTAAAGAGCTGCATAAGGATTCCATAAGGGATTATAATGACAGACTTAAATTAGCCCGAATGACTGAAAAATCTATGAAGAAATGACACTTCAAAATGAAACTAGAAGGATGTGTAAGTAAGGGGTTGGCCAGGTAAAGAGTTAAGACGTAGAATATTCCAGAAAGAGAGGATATAGCACAGTGAAGTCCCAGGGTAAAAGGTGACTGACAGATTTAAGAAGTAAAAAGAAAATCAATGGACAGGAAGATGGAGTAAAGGAAAAAATTAGATGAGCCTAGGCGGTAGGTAGGGACCAGAATACATGAGGCTTTGTGTTGCAATGGAAGGACTTTGAAAATATTCTGGATGTCATAGTATATACAACTAAGGATTTGTTAATGGAAGGTCCATTTTAGATAATCTAAATTTCAAATACTTGATAGAGATTTTCATAAGTGAGTAATAGCCCAGGATTCCAGGTATAAAACCCAAGCCGGAGGTAGAGATTCAGACTCACAGCTACTGGAGTAGATGCGGTTGGTTGGTCAGTGTGTGTGAGTGGGAAAGTTAAAGCTGGGGCCTGAGGCTTAGAAGGATGGGTCAGCAATGGCCACTGTGGCAAACCCAGGAAGGAGATGAATCAGAAGAGCTCGGAAAAGGGAATGATCAAGAGCAGTGAAACAACAGGTGAAGTCCACATGGCGTCGTGCCGTGAGTTCTACCGATAGCAGCTTCAGCAGCTTCATTCAGACAGAACATACACTGCAGTGGTTTTCAGGCCAAACCTAAGGTGAAGAAGCAGAGGCAACAGCAGAAATATCTTTTCTAAAAAGTCTTGACAGGAGACTTTCTCTGCTGGCCAAGATGAAGAAGCGGAAACTGGATTTACTCTCCCATCTGAATCAACTAAAACCCTTGACAAAAGTATAGAAAACAAAACTCAAAACACAAGACATCGGCCAATGGAGGACAACTGTATCTCAGAGATGGAAAACAAATGAGAGGAGCCCTACAAAGGCCCGAGCTTATTGCAGGAAGAAACCGCTCCAGGCTGCAAGGCAGGAGATGGAACTTAATCAGCCTGGGAGAGGAGCTGGAGCAGGAAGTGTGAGAAGCCAGGGCAGGGAGTACCCGGGGAGAGAACACTCCAGGTCTGCAGTGATCATGCACATGAAGGAACCACTCATGACTAGAAAAAGAACCACACAAGAGGATGAAAGTAAAGGTTGTCCTAAGGCTCACAAAGGCCTGGGAATGGTGCCTGTCTCAACAGCCGGAGGGACAAACTCTCCCTTCCAGAGGGTATCAGTCATCAGTTTAAGAAGAAGGGTCTTGCTTCAAAAGTGGGAAATAATTAAGTGTGAGACCCAATGGATTGTTTCCAAGTTTTTAACTGGGTCCCAGAACAAAATCAAAAATAATTATAGAAATACAAATATCCATCAAACAACAATTTGATTAAATTTACCATGTCTGATATCCTATCAAAAATTACAAGGCATACACAGGAAAATAGAAGCCATAATGTGGAGAAAAATCAACCACAAACAATAGTGACACAGATGGCTGACATACTCCAAAGTTATTAATAATATGTATTCAGAAACATGGAAGACATAAAAGAGATTTGACCGATATTCTAAATATGAGAGTTACATTGTCCAAAGTGCAAACTGGCTGGGTAAGATTCACAGAAAGCAGACAGAGCACAAAAAGATCAGTGAACTCGAAGGTATAGCAAAAGAAACTATCCAAAATAAAACACAGAGAAAAAAAGAGCAAAACAAAAATAGACTATCAGTGAACTCTAGGTCAATCTATGCTCACCATATGACAAATCATTCTGCTTGGATCTTCCCTAGAGAAATGAAAGATTATGTTCCTATGATAAATTATAAATGAATGCCATTGCAACATTATCCACAATAATCTAAACTGGAAACAGCTCAAAGTCCATGAGCAGTCAAATTGATTAAAATATTTGGGGTATGTCCTATAGTGGAAAACTCAGCAATTAAAAGAATGAGCTATTGATGTATGCTTCATCATGTGTAGATCTAAAAATAATGGTTCTGAGTAAAAGAAGGTGGAAAAAGAACACATACGATGGAATTATATTTGTACACAATTCTAGAAAATACAAATAAATCGATAGTGACAGGAAGCAGACCAATACAGGAAAGGACAGGGGGAGGAAAGGTACAACAGGAAATTTTGGGGGTATGAGACATAAGTATATATTCATTTTCTGGATTGTAGTGTTGGCTTTGTGGATATATACACACATATGAACATATCCAACTGAATATTTTAAACACATGTAGCTTGGTATATTTTAATATCTCAACAACACTATGAAAATAATCATATACATAAACACACTTCACTTTGAAACAGAAGAGTGAAATGATTAGCAGTTAGAAGGTTGAGTGACAATTGGTGTTTTTCATTTAGGGGTTTGATTTTGCTTTGTTACTTTCGTGCAACAAAACCAAGCAAATTTATAAGCTGAGGGAGGTCTAAAGAAAACTATAGGAACGAGGAGGCGATTGATAGGACGCAGTCCTGAGAGACACAAAACGTTTAGAGTTCAAGGCACAGCTTTGCCTAGACAGGAGAGAACCAAGGATGTGAGGATATTTACAGGACACATCACTCCCTGACTTTCAATCTCCAGATGCTGCCCTCTGAGAATAAGTTCTGATTTTTCCACAGTGCTCCCCATTCCAGAAGTGCTCCTCATTCCTTAGAAGTAATTTCTTCCAAATTCAGTGATGTCTGCGAAGTCTAGGTTTTAGCTGATAGGAATCTGCGATACACTGCAAAAAGATTATTTTATTGAACACAGTGTGCTTTTCCTTACCAATAACGGGCTGTAAATTAGATGTTTTGCTGTTTTGTTTTGTTTTGTTTTTTAACCAAAGTTTCCCATGTAAGCACCCACGAGCAATTCCAAGAGCCTTGACATTATGTGCCGGATGTGTGTTTAATGTAATTTAGAAAACACAGTCACCCAGCTTAGGGATGTTGGTCTTTCAGTTATCATTTCATTATACACACAATCTCTCTCTCTCTCTCTCTCTCTCTCTCTCTCTCTCTCTCTCTCTCTCCCTCCGCCCTCCCTCCCTCTCTCTGTCCTCTATCTCTCTCACACAGATTGCTTTCTTCACTACTGTCCAAACAGCCACAAACACAAGGGTCAGTTTAATAGAATCACTTGTTAGCTTAGCATTAAAATAATGTGTTTACACTTTACTTTCCCAAGATACCATTTTAGCTCGAAAGAGTCAGACCTCCAGGAGCATTCACTCAGGAAAACAAGATTTCAGTAGACTGTGTAATACTGGTCCTGTAAGGATCATTTCTGCATCTTTCATATTCATTCAACAGATTTAACGCGATGTAGAAATTAAAGCTGAACATTTTGTACTTGTTTCGTTTCAGTAAGAGTCTACAGCCTCAACGTCCATTGAACGCACTTAGGGCTTCACAAGGGCTACCAGATAAACTGCCGGTCCTTTACCGCCACTATGAACCAAAAGGTCTCCAGAAACTGGAGACAAGCTCTTTTCTAGCAAGCGAGGAGGCTGTTTCCACTGTTCTGCCTCTGGGAGTTTTGAGGGGAGTCAGTTCACTCTTTCAGACAAGGACCCACCTGGGCTCGCTGCTTTGGGGCAAGAGCTTGGGCTGGGCTGATCTAGAAAACCCAGGTGGGGAAGGGGACCGAACCTCAGAGGCGCGTTTTCAGCTCCTCACCAAGTGGCGTTTGGGACCCTCAAGCCAGGACTTCGGGCAGCCGCCTTCCACCTACTTTAAGTGTGGGTTGGGGAGGAACCTGCGCGCCCAGCTGCCTCCCTCGGAGAGCGCGCGGTTGTGCCCCTCGAGGGTGCCACGGAGCTGTTCCACCTGGTACAGTATTCGGGGACCCTCTAGCCCGCGCCCGGGGGTTGGTAATTCCGGCGGCAGGCGACAGAGACCTGGCTGCGCTTATCGCGGGATGCCGGAAAGCTGGGTCTGAACAGGACCTCGAAGGGCCGGCACCTCGGGCGGTGACGCTGTCCGGCGCGCTTGGAGCGTGCCGCGTCGCCCTCGCTGGCCCAGGCCCCCCTTCTCCTGGCGGAGCCCGGGGAAGGAGAGTTGGGGTGGGGGTGGCTCCTGAAGCTGGCACTCGTGCGGCTGCCCCTCCCCCCGCCACACGGGGGCGGGAAGTGGCGGGTGGGACTCACCCAAGCGCGACTGCCCGGGCTCCTCCTGCGCGGCGAAGGAGCGCCATAAAAGCTCAGTTGCGACCCGCTGTCTGCACCCCGGCAGTCCGCTCTCACCCCTCGGAGAGACGCGCCCCACAGCAGAGCTCCCGCCGCCCCGCCACGCCGCTCGCCAGCCACGGTAAGTGCCCCGACCCGCCTGGCAGGGGGCGCCGCTGAACTTGCCCCGGCGCGATGTCCTCCTGCGGAGCCGGGGAGCCCTGCGAGGGTCGCGCCTGGGGCCCGGACCTCTGCGCACCGGACTTGACCGGCTTCGCACCCGGGCGCCCGCTAGTCTTCCTTGGCGCCCACGTTCCACTAGCCCCTTCTTAGTTCTGTGCGATCGTCTATCTGCCCTTCTCCCTGGCCCTCCTGGCGGGGCGGTCCTCTGGGTCATGTTTTGGAGGACGTGGAAGGAGAACGCGGGAACCCTGTCCCTGGGCAGCCGGCCATCTCCCCGGGGAGCAGCCAGGAAGCCTAGATTTCAGCGCGCGGGACGCAGGCTTCCAGGGCAGGTTCCCCGAATAAGGAGTCCCGGGCGTCGGGAGCCCCACGTCTGTCACCCCTAGAGGCTCGGAATCAGACCTGAGACGGGCTAGCGTGGGGAGGAATTCCCTTCCCCTTGTCACCTCAGTTGTCACCCCGACGGAATCTCAGCCTTCGCTTGCAGCCAGGCTGACCAAAAGTAACAGAGGAGAAAGTTTTCTCTTCCCAGAAGGGCGTGGGGACGTGGGGAGGAAAGTGGCCATCCTTTAACTCCGAGGAAGGAGCATCTAATTCTGTTTTAAACGTCGCCGCGCGACTCTCCCTCCTCGAGACTTGGAACAAGTTGCTCGAGTTTGGGGGCGGGGCAGAGGGGCCGGCCGGGCCACAAGGTGTGTTAAGCCCCAAAGTCCTGCTCCCCGAACTGGCTTCTTCCTTCGGGACTGGGACGGGAGCGGACTGCGGATCTCGGGTTGTAGCAAGGAGAGAAGCGCATGCATGCATGCGTCCTCTGGATCCCCAAGTGCCCTCCACTGAGCCTTCTGTCCCGCAGATGCTAGGTAGCAAGCGACTGGGGCTGTCCGGACTGACCCTCGCCCTGTCTCTGCTCGTGTGCTTGGGTGCGCTGGCCGAAGCGTACCCCTCCAAGCCAGACAACCCGGGCGAGAACGCACCGGCGGAAGACATGGCCAGATACTACTCGGCGCTGCGACACTACATCAACCTCATCACCAGGCAGAGGTGGGTGGATTCCGCGGAAGGAGCTCGGGAGAGCGGTGCAGCCCAACCACAGATTCTGGGGAGATTAGACCACAAGGACTTTTTCTTCCTATATCCCGGGGCAGGGCCGTATCAGGCACATACTCAGCAGAGCACAAAATGCACAAATTGGGCAGGGTTTTCTCCAATTGCAGTCACTAAGTACGGAACCCAGAGTCAAATTCTCCGGCCTTCTGTCTGGGGACCTCCTCCAGCCCACCTTTGGGTCTTTTGTTGTTGCTTTGAGCTGGTGGGGGCCTGTCTAGCAACCTCCATAGGAAAACTCCAGGCAGAGGGGGAGGGGTGCGCCCAGAAAGGCTATAGAGACAAAAGCCAACTTGGTGTCTTTGAAAAACAGAACACCTACTGAAGAAAACCAAGGAGGAAAAGGCCTGAGCACTGAAGAGGTGGCCAGACCCTCCAACCTGCCCTGGGGATCTGGGTGTCAGTGCTGAAGCAAAGTACAACTTCGATGCTTCTTTCTCTGCACAGCATTTCTTACAGGCTCAGCCCCATTCTTGAGAATCCCAATCCCAAAAATTAGGAACGTAGCATGAAAACAGTTGATCTAAGATGGAGAATTTCCCCACTTGATAGCAAGAACGTATGAACACTGTTTTGTTAAGAAAAAAATCACACTAGTCTAGCACCGAAAGTCTAGCGTAAATCCAGGGATTACACAAAATCTGAGAAATGGCTAACTTTATTCTGAACTTCCAGAAAGTCAAAATAAAAGATCACATTTTCAATTTCAACATCAAATAGTAAATGAAAAGTCAAATCCAAAGTATTTCACAGATAATGTAGGATTTACAATTTATTTCCAAAATTGGTGCACTGTTCATTGTAAATCATTTATTCTTAATTATTGACATTAAATGACATTAAGGAGCTATAAAGGATGAACCCTTTAGAAATGTTAATGTTACTCAGTGAACACATTTTAAGTCTGTATTGTAAAGTATTGGTATTTTTGTTTGGGTTTGTTTAAATCATATTTTTTCTGTTTATAAGTTAGAATGTAGCTAAAAAGGCTCCAAATGGGGGAGAATTTGTGCTTCTGAAGTAGCTATCTTCTTTGTTTCATCAAAAAGGCATGCCCTGAGGGTCTTATGAAAAAGTCCCAGTTTGCACAGAATCAATGAAATAATATTGGTTGATAATCTCTTAAAATCTGATCAATAGGGTCTGATGAAGAAAAAATAAGGGAAAGGGAACTTGAGTTTCTTTGGAAGGGATTCAGGTTAGGTGGATAGCTGGTCCCGGAGGGAGTTTTTCTGTGTCATCTTCATCTAAATTCCTGCTTAGACACCATCAGAGGCTCCTACTTCCCTGACATCTGTTCAATATGCAATCATTGCCTTCCCACCATAGATGCCCACTCATGCACACAAGTGTGTGCTTTGAAAATTAGAGCGTCATTTGTGATTGTATTTGAATATGGCATATATGTTCATCTGAAATCATTCTTTCTTCCTTTCTCTATTACTCTGTGTTTTAAAACTATATTCCTGGTGCTGTATATACCCCTGGTTCACTGCTTCTGAAAGATGCATTGCTTATTGTAGAGTAGAAGTCTATTGCATTTTGCTTACATAGTTCCCTGGACCAACAGACTCAGCTGAGATAATTTTTATGGTCTCTAGAATATTTGGCATTGGAGACAGTTTTTATTGTTACAACCAGAGATGGGTACTACGAGCATCTAGTGCCTAGAGGACAGTGACTCTGCTAAACATCCCCATATGCCCAAGACCATTCCATACAATGAAGAATTATCTGGCCCAAAATGTCAGTAGTGTCAAAGTTGAGCAACTCACCCCCAGGTTACAGGGTGTTTCTCTATCCTGGCTGCACATTAGATCACCCGAGGTGCTTTAAAAATATATGGACGTTGGCTTCCACCCCTGACCAATTAAATTAGACTCACTAGAGATGGGGCCTGGGCTTTTATAGTGTTTCATTTAAAGCTCCCTAGATGATTATAATGTGCAGCCAGGTTTGAGAATCTTTGTCCCCAGAGACTTTGTCTTTGAAAGCAAAAGGATTATAGAGAAGAAGGATAATACAGAATTAATTAAAGAAGGAAGAGTTGTGAACATTGCTGTCCTGGGTGCCAGTTTATGACTGTGTAAACCCTGCTATTACCGATTTAGGCTCTTTACTGGTAAATTGGAGAACATAGTTGCTAGTTCTTTTATCCAGTGGAGCGTGATGAAGATAAGTGAATTAAGGCTGCCTAAGAGTTTTAAGATTAGTATAATCAACTGATAAACACAATAACTAAGAACAAGCAGCAGCTTAGAGTTTGGTATCACACCTCCAGAAAATCCCTGAAAAAATCTTACAAATGATGGGAGAGGGAGTAAGGGTTTCAGGGCATTTCTTCTCTTGACTCTCAGCAAGGGAGCAATGATACGAAATTCTCCCTAAACATTTGGATTTAGTTGTACTCCATAGGCAGTTGGAGCAAACCCTCTGCCGGCTTTGTTTAGCTGTTGTACCTATTAGTTAACCAGCCCATCCCAGGCTAAGTTCTCTTGTGTAAACAAAGCAGCTGCTCCTGTTTAATGCCTTTCAGAGAAAGGGGGAAGTAATCTCTTAAAAAAATGTAATTAGATGTTAACTTGTCAAACCTTTTAGCAGCATCCTGAAGCAGGTAGCTTATACTGCCTTCACAGGTAAATGGAATCTTGCATTCATATACTATCCCAATCAGATACTGGTACATGACAGAAAAAAGAAACCCCATAAACATGAAACCATGGACCAATAGGATTCCTTTATACTTATGGAGAAGGTTAAAGTCACAGCATCAGGAAAGGCTTTTAGTTTTTGATGTCTTGAACATAAATATGGAAAATCCAAGATCCAGGATTTGGTGTAGCTGTAAGGATGGATATAGCCCAGTGGCAGTAATGTGTATTTGAGTATCATTCTGGCATTATCAAAGCATTAGGACTCGCATTTCACATTGTATTTTCACAAAGACTCTCATTGAAGCAAGGGTTATGGTTTTATTTTATGAATGAGAAAACAGATTCAGAGACATAGGTGGATTTTGAACATCATTCTGCTGGTCTCCCCCTCTTGAGGGGGCTGTTTCTGGAATATCATTTGGTCTGCTAACTAAGATTTCAACTGCTATGTGTTATCAGAACTATAGCACATAAACTAATAGAAACATTTTAAAATCATGCTTCTGTGATTTTACACTTCCTATCATATATATATGATTGATGACCGTATGAAAGAATCTGTCTAGGAATTTTGGTTCAGTTTAAATAATGAGCTAAGTTATTTAAGCAAATTCAGATAATATAAAATTAAAATCTTATTTATGATAATATTTCTGATGGCTTCATATACCCAGAATACTTATTAGCAGATGAGCAACTGAAAATAACTTTTAGGTTTAGTATCCCAGATGGTAGACTACCTTTTTAAGACTTTTTCTTTTCTATCTTTTTATTTTTACAGATATGGAAAACGATCCAGCCCTGAGACACTGATTTCAGACCTCTTAATGAGAGAAAGCACAGAAAACGTCCCCAGAACTAGGTATGACATTATGGTGGGGATGCTGTTACAGAGCTCCAGGTGTCCAGGGGAAGGTGGGAGTCATTGGAATGAAGGCTTCCAAACTGGGGTAGGGGAGGAATGGGAATGGATAATCAGGCAGGGAGGACCTTTCTTTTTACTCATTGGTAAATCTGTCAGCTTCCTTGAGGTAACATTTTCTAGCCTATATTATTTGATGCTCATTTGACAATTCTAAATATAAGTAACTTTTAGCTCAAAAATTATTCTGTGTGGAATTTCTAGCATTGTTAAAATTGGGAGGAGCATAGAGTAGGCCCATGGAAATACCAACTATCAATTTTTGACTAGGAGAATCTTTAATTTGCATATATTAAGTGAAATGCCTTTATGTTCTAGGAAGTGTTATGTGACTCTAGCTTTTCTGGTTTTACATGAATCTATAGATAAATCAGGCACTCTGGATTACTATTTGACATATCACAGCTCAACATAGTAATTTATTACATTCAGTGAATGACTGTTGAATGATATTATTCTTAGAAACTTATCTGTAGATTCAGTACTTATTGGAGTGTGGATCTGTTGAGGGAAAAGGTGCCCAACAAAATCTAAATGTTCACCATTAAGGATTCTCTGGACAGCCTGGACAAGGACTGCTTCCAAAAAGAAGCTTCACCTGCTTATATTTTCCTGACCCCTGACTATGCTGCCCTTGCCTCCTGCATCTACCCACAGTACGATCACAAGGCACAAGACAGGGTCTGCTCCTGTCTGAGGGACCTTGTCTGTCTGAAACCCACTGCTCTACCACATCAAAAACTGACTTCCCCAGGAGAGGTCACTAGCACACTTAGTGTGACTGCTGCATCGCTCTTCATCTCCCTAAAAATCCACAGGGCCACCTATCTTCACTCCTACCCTCTCTCCAATCCCTTGTGAAATGGCCAGCTGGAATGAGGGGTATAAGGATCGAGCTGGCAGATGTTGTTCAAAGGGAAATAATGATTTTGAAGTAAAAAAAAAAAACAAAAAACCCATATACCAGCCCAGATATAAATAGCAAATGTAAGAGAAACAGATGGAAAATTCATAAAGATTGTTTTTAATACTAAGCAATAAATACCTTTGAATGTTTTATTGACAAGTATATAATGTTTGGCACAGTGAAGTTAGGGAAGGCTTTGTCTATGTAAGATTAGGAAAATTATGATTCAGACCTACTTATAACTCTGCTGCTGGATTTGTTTTATGGCCTGAAATAACAGTGCGTGAAATAAAGTTAATTACACCCTGATTGACAGATTCAATCCTGTGCAATTAGAAGGAGATGAAAGTTGATAGTTTTGAAGTTGCTTGTGAATACTATTATATTTAAAAGGGCTCTTTGTAGTTAACAAATAACATCTTGCTACATAAAAAGTCTTGTAAGAAAACAACAGAACCAAATTCAGAATTGAGCAACACTAACTTACTTGTTATAGTTTCGTGTGATTCTTACAGTTTTGATCTTCAGAAATATTGTGGAGTTCCTCACTCCTTTGATATATGGAGAGCCTTTTAAATACTCCTCCAGAGATTTGACTGAGACACACATTAACATGAGTGAGAGCAGCTCAGCTGCGCTTTGCCACAGTACAGTTGTCTCAGGGTCTGTGCTCTTCCACATGGCCTTTTGTTTAGAGTCCTGAGAGGAAACCTTTTAAGAGTTTCTGATCATCTTTTAGTTCAGAACTGAATATCTCACTCTTAGAAACCTCCCAGAAAGTCAGACATCTTCTCTTACATGCTCTGCTCCTTGTATTTTACAGGCTTGAAGATCCTTCTATGTGGTGATGGGAAATGAAGTTGGCTCTCCAGGCTTTTCCTATTTTCAACCCATATTTCATTCTGTACAATGAGTGTCGGCCTGTCCTACCAATGCATGAGACCATTGTGCTGAATTCTACAGTGTTTTCCTTTGTTGTTATTGTATATATGTGTGTTTAAATAAAGTACCATGCATTCAAAAGTGTATTCTCTTCAATTGACAATCTGTTATTACAATAGAGACAATTAATACTTTAAGTTATTCATTAAATTATAATCTCCCTCATGTAGCAGATTCAAGGTTTGTTTCATCAGTATTAAAGCAATAGCTATGAAAGATAAAAAGACACGGTTATTTACAATGACAAAGACTCTGTGTGTGAAAGAAAAAAGTATTTAGAGACATTGACCAAGAAAATACTACTTTGGAAATATATTCTGAATTCTCTTCCCCTTTCACCCGGAATCCCTATTAATCTTGTTAACCTATGCCATCAGCAGAAAGGACTACAGTATCATAGAACTTTCTACAAAATGTCCTCTATCCCACCAGCTCCTAGCCACATGTGGCTTTTGAGCACCCAGTGTGGCTAATGCAAATAAGAAGTTAAATAAGAAACTAAGTTTTATTTAATATTAATGAATTTAAATTGCTACATGACACTGCTGAGGTCTGTACATCTATTTAAGTCACTAGAATTTGAGTTAGAGATACACAATGCAGCATGATTACACACAAAAGGGGATATTAGTGAACCTAGCTAAAGGTTATAAAACTTCTTCCTTCAGGTACTGATCTGCATGGGCTTAGTTTAAAATTTTTATTAGATTCTTAAACATAATTTCTAAATTAAAGAAAATGAGTCTCATCCCATACTACCACTGTACCATGGTGGTAAAAAAAATACACAAATATCTTCATATGACATCTTAAATTTGCAAAAACCCAAGAATAATAATATATAGTTATGCATTGCTCAGTGTCAGGGATTCATAGTGAGAAATATATCATTAGATAGTTTTGTGATTGTACAGAGTGTACTAAAAAACTAGGATAGTTGTGACATCATCAGGTGGCATAATCTTATGGGGCCACTATCATATATGTGGTCCATCACTGACCAAATTATTATGCAGTGCAAGACTGTCTATCATGACTTAGCAATTATTGTAGTATATATACAAGATTCTTTGTGTGTGAAGAATTCTGACATTTCTTCAGCCAAATGAAGTCAGTGCTGCCACAAAGTAAAATCCCTTTAATAAAAGTAAGATTGTGTGATTTCTCAAAAATTTTCCTTATTTTTATTTTTGTTACCTGAACTAAATATTGATGTTCAAGGTGTTTTTAGAAATCTTCAAAGGTAAAATAAGTCACAACTTACTATCTCATAACGTCATTCTTTCTGGATCATTATATTTGGAGATTTTCTCTATTAAAGTTAAGATTGTGCAAGAAATATGACTCAAAGATCCACTTGGCAGTGCAGATGTGCTGAGTATCCATTATTATATATAGAACTCTTGGTTCCATGGAGTAGAGCAAATAGGAATAATATATATGAACCATTGAAAGATAATCTGGGTCTTTTGTTTTAAACAAAAATTATAAACTCTTACTCCCTCCCAACCTAAATGCCTGGAGAGTTTAACATTAAACAGCCTACATTTGACTCATATAGTCCTTGAGCTCTCTTCTTCTTCACCTCACTTTACTGGAAAGAGAACCAGACCATTTTTGCCCTGGGAGCTGTACGGTCCTGAAGGATGGGAAGCCAAAGCTCTTTGACCTTCAGATTCACTGAACTTCAGAGTTCTCATAAAACAGAGATAATAATTCCTGCCTATCTTCCCATGTAAGTCTATATTGGGATCAAAATTCAAATTAGGATAAGTTACAAATAAGTAATAGAAGAGAGGGGATAAACTGTATCAGAAATCCATAATCAATAAGAATTAATTTTAATATATACAATGATGATAAACTTAAAAAATGCAAGGCTTCATTCCTAGAGATTCTTGTTGTAGTATTTCTCCAATATTTTAGCCTGCTGACCAGACTTGATATATGTTTAAAGGTGCTGAGCCACTTAAGTGTCACTGCAAAGCTAAATAACAATAATAACCTTCACTAGAGTTACACTAAGAACAATTCAACCTTCACTGATGAGAAGCCTTTGAACAAAATAATCATTACCAGTAAATCTGGAAGCATTTACTAAGGTCTCCCCTGATCCTGGCTCTAGTCTATATTCTGTGCAGCATGAATTATGCATAATTATCTTATAGATGAGATTGTCTCCTTACTTTTTTTATCTCCTTTTTAAAAATTTTTTACTTATGTGAAAATAAAACAAAATTTCATAACAAAATAATAAGAGAGTAAGAACAGCTAATACACTGTGTATCATTATCTTCAAAGTATTTTTAGAGTATAAGGGATAGACATGAAAGATTCTCTATTTTGAAAAAGAAACAAACAATGCCACAAAACTTTCTCTTCAATAAACTAAGGGAAACTAGTAGGATAAATGAAATGAATTAGCATATATATTATGCCCACATCACAGTAAAGTAGATGATTATCTCCTCAATTTTTATAGATGAGGAAACTAAAGCCTAGGAAAAATAAGTGACTTTTCCTACCTCATTCAGCATAGGAGGGCTAGACAGCAAATCCTCTTCTTGCATACTTGACCCTACCTGATGGTATCTTCCAGGATAAGTTTGTAGAGAGCAGGTCATGAACGACCTAGGTAAGAACATAATTCTGTCACATTTAAATAAAAAAGAACCAAAGAACTGAACAAGAGATGAAATGGGCACAACTACCTAGAAAATTTTTAAGAGAGAAAGTGATTGTCACAGAAGTTCTGGGTGAGTTGACTAGCTGGGCTCAACACAGATGAGTCAGGCACAGCTTATGGAAGGAAAATGCAGGGAGCTGCCTGACACGATCCGAAGCATGCAGAACAGCTGGAGGTTGGATGGAAGAAGCAGATCCCAGAATGGACAAACTCATTCACTCATTCATTCATTCATTCATTCATTCATTCATTTAACCTTTTTTGAGCACCTAATGTATATTGAACACTGTATTACGGTCTGGGAAGACAAAGGTCAACAATAATTTCTTACACAATATATCATCTAAAGAGGAAGGCAGATTACAATAGGTTGTTGGAAGTGAAAAGATGTAGTGTTAGACCTTTGGGATGCAGGTGGCCTCTGGAATCTTCCCACTCACCGTGCTGCCCTCTGTTGCTTCTTGACAGGGTGGGGAAGTGGGTGTCCCTTAACTAATCAGTTTCTGTGGAGGGAACAAATTACCAGGTGGGCAAGCATCCTATGAAGCCCAATGCAATCTGCTAAGTAGGCTGCCAAGGTGCCTGGGTGAGGCCTGTGCCTCCAAGGCATCCCTGCCTCCAAACCAAATCTGGAAAGTCACGGAAAAAAGAAGTCTTTGAGACAGATTCCCAAATTAACCTACGCAACAAACGTATTTACGAGAAGGGCCAGGCAGCCACATTTAGCAACTGGTGAAAGAAGACAAGGGATGTGTGTGAAGGAATGTTACCTTTTTTTTTTTTTTTTTTTTTTTTTCTCCGGTACCGGGAACCGAACTCATGACCTTGCGCTTGCCAGGCAGGCGCTTTGCCGGTGAGCTAAATCCCCAGCCCCGAAGGAATGTTACCTTTTGACAGCATCTCTATCTAGTAGTTCAGTGTGGTGCAATGAAGCAGTCAGAAGAGCAGCTCCTCATGTATGAGAAGGAAATAGGAAAAGAGAATAGAGCACAGGGCCAGAAGCCTCTGTGGGCCAAGGCCAATACTTGGACATCTTACAGGTCCTTCAAATTAAATATGCTCAAAACTGATATCCCCTATTTCAAGGGAAAAGTAGTTCCTGGTTTTATGGGAAGAGAGAATACCTGCCCCGCAAGCTGGGGAGATAGAGGAGGCAGGACAGACTTCCAAAGGCGCCTGAGGCATGAGCTGAAATTTGAAAAATGCACAGCAAATAGCAAATAGGAGAGAGAAGACAGGGAGATAGGAGAGAGCAGTATCTATTTTGATTACTTTTGAGTTATTCTTGATCCACAAACTTTGAATTTTACTGTTCTCAGGGGAAATTCCCACTTGAGATGAAGTCAAATCCATTTGCACATGTTCACAAACTATGTATTACTGATGAAGAAAACCGAATATGATGGCAGCTAATTACTCCTCCTCTGTCCTTCTAATGCACAAACATTAGATATATAGGGTTGCCTATTGCTATGCATACAATAGAAAATGTTTCTTTGGCCCTCCGTGCAGAACACTGGGATAAGTTACAATGCCTTCAGAACTAGACATGAACCTTTTCTGTCATTATAAAGTAAAATAATATTTTGAGTGAGGTGTTTCAGTGCAAAATTCTTTTATTATGGTTCTGGGTAGGAAGATTATGATATTGTCACAACTAAAATTATTGTCTTTTCTTCTGCCTATTAGAACAATTAGCTCAGTGCAAAATCACAGAGAAAGCTTCTCTCTTTTTAAAATTGAAATGGAATAACATATAATTAATTGTATGTGTCATCTAGGCTCATTTTTAAATGATAGCTAAGTAATAGCTATCAAATTAAATTCATTCTTATGCTGCAGAATCGCAATGCTTTGAAATTATGGGAAAAGGATGATGTGTGTGATAATACTGACCTTGTCACCTGACACACCGTAGGTGTGGAGTGAGGCCTAGCTCATTCTGGAACTTATTGCAAACACTGGGGATGATCTCAGAGAATCCAGAACACATGCAGTGCTTGGAGAACAACCTGAAAAGTTTCTGTGTCAGAGAATAGCATCATTTCAATGGTTTTTTAATTAAAAGTAGCCTAGCATAATTTAAATATTATTTATGATGATACATCTTTTTATCACTGGCAAGTCTTTTTAAATGAGAGCTACCTACTAAATTAACTGGCTTATGAAATTTAATGCAAGAATAAGAAATTCAGGCAGAGCATAGTTAATACAGTCACTCTTCCTGAGAGACTAGATTATTATTATTATTTTTCTTTTTGTTTTTTTTCTGGTACTGGGAATTGAACTCAAGACCTTGCACTTGCCAGGCAGGCGCTGTGCCACTGAGCTAAATCCCCAGCCCCGAGACTACATTATTGACTGGGTTAAAATGGAACTAGTTGATCTCCGATGAGTT